GGGCAGCTCTCTGCCCCCCAGAGTCATTTTGTGTGCTCACCCAAGAGGGAGCAGCTTGTAGACTCCAGGCTTCTGCTTCAGTCCTGCCTGTGAAGACACTACAGATGCCGTGGTGTGAGACCAAAGCGACTCCATTTTGCTAAAATCCACCATTCCCCTAGCCTCTCAAATTAATGGTTAAAATGTGTTTGCTCTGGAACAAAAGATACAATCTGTAACAAACCAAAGTTCCTAAGTTAATTACTCAGCCATCTGTTTACCCAGGAAATGAACATCCTGGGCCCACTATCTGTAGGAACCCTCTGTCAATGTGCTGACTGTTAGTGCTGGGTGGTCGTGACCATTAGTCACCGTGTCTGCTGACCATGAATACGTGACAGTTGCCCACTAACCTTTGTCCTTTTCTTTTGTAAAACCTATACGTAATCACCCCTTACCCCTGATGAGTTCACCCAATCAGAAATGTGCACTTCATGCATGTTAAGCACTGACCAATCATTGTAATTGCTAAGTGGAAAATCTCCAAACCTTGCTGTAACCTCTATAAAAACCCTGCTAATTTGGAACCCGGGGCTCTCAATCTCGATCCGCTGTGACAATTGAGAGTCCCTGCTTAAGCTTGAATAAACGACCCTCATGTGCTTACATCGGAAACGGCCTCCTGGTGGTCTTTGGGACCTTACAATCTGGGCACAACAGTGGCGGGTCATGGCCCACGTGCTGGCTGCAGTGCTCTGCGCTTCGCTGTCCTGACTGGCCAGTATTAATAGTGACCACTCATTGGCTGCCATGTTTCCAGGCCCCATGCCAAGTGCAGCCTTCTGAGCCAGGATGGCATCACCACTGCTTACACTTGACAAAAGCAGGGTCTGAGGCTGACTCTAGGTCTCGGTCCACACCTGCTGAGGGGCCCGTGGGCCATCCAAGGCTCTCAGCAGCCCAGCTCTGAAAACTTGTAAATGGCACTTCTATAGCTTTGTTTTTGATCATTAGCTGTTCATTGAAATAGAAATACTGTAGATTTTACATATAGATCAGATAACCTGGAACCTTACTAAGCTTATTTACTAGTTTGAAGCACATTTTATGGAATCTTTGAGATTTCCTACATGTGAATAAGGATAATTGTATTGCTTCCTTTCTCATCCGTATGCCTTTTTTTCCCTTCTTTTTCTTACCTTATTATATTGGCTGAATTCTGGCAGTTGATGTCTTTCAAAGAGTTGACTCATTTCATCTAAATTGTCAAATTTATGTGCACAGTTGTTCATCTTATCCCCTTTGTCTCTCCTGTGGGATTAACAGCAGTGATCCCTTTCATTCCTTATAATGCTAATTCTCTTTTTCTCTTGGTCAATCCAGATAATTTTATTCATCTTTTTCAAACCTTTGGTTTCATTACTATTCTTTATTTTTTCTTTAAAACTGCATTGATTTCTACTTTTAGATTTATTATCTCTATCTTTCCATTTGATTTAGTTATTTTACTGTTCTAGTTTCATAAGACAAAAGCTTATATTATTTTTTGAGACCTCTGTTTTTGGTGCTGGGGATTGAATTTACAAACTTGCGCTTGCGAAGCAGGTGTAACACCACTGAGCTAAATCCACAGCCCGAGACCTCTCTTTTTTAAATACAAGCATTTAATGCTAAAATTTCCCCCTGCATACTGCTTTAACTTCATATACTGAGCTGGTTCTTTTGTTTGTTTGTTTTTGGTAACAGCGATTGAACTCGGGTCCTTGCCCTTGCAAGGCAGGCAGTGGAACCACTGAGCTAAACCTCCAGCCCCATATACTGAGTTTTAATATGTTGGATTGTCACTTTTATTTAGTTAAAATGTATTCTAGGGCTGGGGATTTAGCTTGGTGGTTCCTCTGCCTCCCTCGCAAGCAGAAGGTCCCAAATTCAATCCCCGGTACCAAAACAAAAAAAGTATTCTAATTTCCTTCAAGTTATCTTCTATAACATATAGACTACTTAGAAGTGTGTTGTTTAATTTAAAAGTATTTGGAATTTTCCAGATATCTTGCAGTTACTGATTTCTAGCTTTATTATAATCAAAGAACATGCTTCCTCTTATTTCAATCCTTTGACGTGTGGTAATGTTCATTTCATGACTCAGGATAAGATTTAATTGGTGAACATTCACGGGCACTTGGCCAGAATGTGCGGATTGCTCTTGGGGCTGCAGGCTTCCAGGGCTGTTGGGTCAGGTTAGTTTATGCTGCTTTTGCCATCTTTGTATCCGTGCTGTTGTCTGTCTACTTTCCACTCCATGACAGAGAAGTGCAGAGCCTCCTACTTATCTCCTTTCTTCTGGTGGTTTTGCCTCCTGCCATGTGGCATTCTGACAGCAGTGTGCAGTGCATCGACACTTGATGTCCCTTAGTTTGCTGCTTGACAGCTCATTCTGAGTATGTGGTGTCGACTCTGTCACAGGCAATTCTTGTTCTGAAGTCTGCACTGCCTGATGTTACTGCAGCCATGCCGCGCTGTTTGGCTGGGTTTCCAGGCACAGCTTTCCCATCCCCTCACTTTCAACCTGTCAACATTATTATTTTTACAGTGGGTCTTATTTTTTTTATCCAATTGGACAATCTCTGTCATTCAATTTGTGCACTTAGACCACTTACATTTAATGTAATTGTTTATATGGTTAACGTCATGGTGGAAGAGCAGGGTAGAGCAAAGTTGCTCAGTTCATGGTAACCAGAAAGCAGAACAGGGAAACCATGCCAGAGAGAACAGACAAAGGACCATTTATAGTCCCCAAGGCCAGTCTCCATGACCCACTCAGAAATTGGTTTACTAATCTGCTAGGCATTTCTCAATCCAATAAAGTTGACAAATCAGGAATAATGATCATAGCCAGGGACACCTGGACAGTGCCTGGGGCCACTCTGGCCAGGTGACCTATGGTCAGTGTATTGTGGATCCTGGTTTTTCCAAAGCCAGCCATCCAGCAAGGGGTGGCATGCGCTTCCCACACTGCTGGGGACACGGAACTACAGGGAGGCCAAGAATCTGAGTTTCCTGTCCAGAGTGGACTTCACGCCCAGCATCAGCATAAAGCTGAACACACCTTCTGGGTTCCTAGCAGTCTGTTCACGTAGCTGTCAGCTTACCAGAAAGGTCAGGGCGGGCGATTTAGCTCAGTAGTTTCGCCGCTTGCACAGCAGGCGGAAGGACCCAAGTTTGATCCCGGTACCAAAAAAAAAGAAAGGTCTCAGTAAGGAAGGAACATGCTCCCTTCTCACTCACCCCCTTCTGTGTCC